GGATGTCTTACTCCCTCCACTGTTGATGGCCTACGGGACAGCAGAGCATAAAGCCACTGCATGAAGTTGATGTTTGGTCGGGAACTTCGGTTGCCAGTGGATCTGTTAACAAGACGCCCACCTTATGAAGAGTTGCCTGAAAATATGTCAGAGTTTGTGAAAGTCTTATCAGAAAGAATGGATGATATTCACCATCAAGTGCGTTCAAACTTGAAAACGTCTGCTGATTCGATGAAGTTATCTTATGATAAGAGATCTACTGAAGTCATCTTTGTACCAGGAGACAAGGTGTGGTTGTATAATCCAAGGAAGACCAAAGGGAAGTCTCCTAAGTTGTCTTTTCCATGGGAAGACCCATATGACATAGTGGATCGTCTCTCAGACGTGACTTTCTGGATAAAATGTGGTCAGCGAGGTAAGCCAAAGGTGGTGCCTGCTAACAGGCTTTGGCATTATCACGGTCCAGGACATTTCAGTTACGATGAAGTGAACGATGGAACAAATGATGCTGCTGAAGACGTGTCACCTGAAAAAGCCACTGTCGAAGAAGAAATTCTACCCGGTTTTGAGAAGGGAAACAGTGAAGCCCTTGATAAAGTTACGACCAATGGTTCGACTGTTACCAATGATAGGACGTTTCCTGATGGAGCAGATGAACCCCACAGGAAGCAGAAGCCAACGAGACGGAGACCAGTATGGAAGAAAATACGTCCCGTAAAATTAAGAGACTTTGTTGAATTTTAATTTTGTGTTTGTAGTTCTGTACATTTAATTAAGTTATTGTTAATTGTTTATTGGTTTAATGTAAGGGGCTATTGTTCGTCCCGAACTAAAAAAGGGGCAGTGTTACAACAGCGGAAGTCACGTGACTCTAGTAACACGTTATGCGCTTCTAGAACGTTCATGTCCCTTCCTGAAGCCTCGAGTGTTTACTAGATATGCGGTATTCTTGTATATATAAGACCGTCAAGAAGTGATGGCAACAATGTAATTGAACTGCAGACAGAGAGAGACTGACGATTGAGTCGAGCATGTGAGTCGTTCGTTGTGAATTATAGTGTTTGTTATAGCGT